CATGTTTATAATTTATATCATTTGTTGTTTTCTATTTTCTTTTCCGTTACTGTAATTCATTTATGAATGGGCTTCACGACTTAAGTTATTTTCTAATTGTCATTTGATTGAAGACAAGTCAACGTAAATATTCCTACACGGAATCTTTTTTCAAATCATTACCCGTACATGATACCGGTAATGGGTTTTGTATCTTATATAAATCTCAAAAATGATGAGTAAAATTCTTCAATCTTCCCCACCATATGATGTAAACCTCAGTGGTGGCCTCTCTCTCAAAACCAGCTGGATAGTGCATTCATAAGTCTCATTAATAATTTCTATACAGTTTCCTGAGCGTTTCTCAAGTAAGTTAACCCTTATTCCTATTCATTAATTTTAGACCTAAACACATTTTGTTAAATTTTCCAGAATTTAACAGTTCCTAGAATTCACTTAATAGATTTCAAGATTGTGATAAATATAAAGTCAAGAAAGCCTCCTTATGCCGTTGACAATCACGATGGCTTTGTGGGTGTTGGTGATAATGTTCTACATACACAACCATTTAGTGCAGGTTTACTCAAATGCAGGACAGTTAAATCATATACTGTTCATTATCAAAGCAATTAACTTCTAACCATTAGCAACGAATATTGTCAAAAAAATCCCAAATTAATATTATATCGGTATTTAAAATTCTTCATGAAATAAACACAGATGCCAATGCCTTCCAGTCACACTGACCAACAATAGAAAAAAGTGGGTTAATATTGGTACAGGTGATCAAAGACATAATTAGCCATCAGACTGAAAAACCTGACTAGCATATGAAAATAGTATTATACAGTTATTAGCGTTGACAGGTGGCTGCATATTTTAATTCAGTTTAGCTGCTTTATATTCACACCAATTATTAAGCATATAGGACAGCAACAACACAAACTGAAACAATTTCATGGGAAATTGACGTTAATGAGTGGTTACATGATGCATGACAGTCATTGATTTAGATATAAAGATATTTATTTGCATTTAACTTCATATTTCATAACAAACCTGTACAATAAATATTTAAATGTTCCAACTGTTTACATTCATTTTGAAAACCCTTGAATCATTAACACATCATCTGTTAACATAATTTTTTTTATAATTGTAGAATGTGATTAATGCAGGTGCTATTTTGAAGATAGTTGCTTTAATAGGTCATTTAGAAATTATGAGCATCACCAGTGACACTGATCACTGATTCAACAGCCATTTTGAGTTTCTAATTATGGGTCGCATGCAAAAGGAGTGTATATGACTACATAAGTTGAATATCAATACAATGTAATTTTGGCAAGCACAGAATATTAGCTGAACTCCTTTCATCCAAGACAAACCATGGCTCACAACTGGCTTACTGGATAGGTTTAGCATCCAGCCCAGAGTCTCAGAACCTTCATTCAAATCAGTTCTGATCAGGGTGTCAGAATCATCTTTAAAATCAGACCTGTATAGACACTCAGAATCGTCTTTTAATTCTTCTTTTAAATCAGTCCTGTCCTGACAGTCAGAATTCACATTTAAATCAGTCCTGTCCTGACAGTCAGAATTCACTTTCAAATCAGTCCTGTCCTGACAGTCAGAATTCACATT